GCAGGCTGCCCACTGCCCGTGCCCCCACGAGGGATGCCCCCTGGCCCTGTCATCATCTCAGCTTGTGCCACCCACCACTTAACACCCTGGAACTTGGACCTCAGCTCATCCCCTCCCAAGAGCACAAGAATTCTCTCCCATGTACACAAAGGTGGGGCTGTTCTTGAGCCCTGACACAATGCTAGATTCCTGCTGTTCTCACCTGCTGGACAGGTGCCTCTGACAACCCAGCTCCCCAGCTCCCCAGCTCCTCCAAACTGCTTGGTTTGGGAGAACACACATAACTGTCTCTCTGGTACATGTCTCATTCATTTAGAGAATGAACCCCTTGCCTGCATTTGCCTGAAATAAGAATGCTTTGACTAAAAGATCATAGCCATCTGCTACCCATTAAAACAATTTCTGGGAAAGATGGAATTATAATGAGCAATAGAATTCATTTGGTCATTCCTAAACATCAAGGTCCAAAGTCTTAGTGGGTGTAGAAGTTGTGGGTTTGGGAAGGCAGCCTATCTAGGGTCAGGGAAGGCTGTTAGGCAGGGAGGCTGGACACAATGTCCTCTTCCCTTGTGCAGGGAAGGTAGTGTTTGCAATGGTAGGTTCTGGCTGGGGATCAGGGTCCCTATGGATCAACCTTGGACCCCTCTGGACTCTTACAGACTGAGTTTCCCAAAGCAGAGCAAACAACATCCCTGCTCAGCTTACTTCTCACCTTTGCTGAGGAAAGACCTCTGGATGGCACTGGCTTCCTTTCCTTTTCTGGGGCAGAAGGGAGAAGCAGACCCGCCCTCTGCTTCTGGGAAGTCCCACACAGCTCAGCCAGGAAGGAGCTACATGGAAAGAAAACCGGATCTCAGCTTTGGGTCTGCACTGGCCAGCATCACCTTCCCCCCTCCGTGTCTGCAAGCCCGGCCTGGCAGTGCGCCCAGGGCCTGGAGGCTGCCTTGCCAGGGGATCTCCTTCGATAATCCTCACCAGCTGGGATCATGCACTGGGGCAGGGGCTAGGGGGCAGGGTAGATTGCTGTTGGCTTACAGAGGCAAGAAATGAGCGCCTCTGGAAGCCATTGAGAGGCTCAGCACTTTTCCCTCCCAGGCGACCTCCCTTGTGGCAGCCTTCCTTACCCTCTGCACAGCTGCTTGGGCTCCCAGGATGTGGGTCCAGGAGGAGCCTGGATCAGGCCTGCAGCCCTTATAGTCCCTGGAAGGGGTGTGTCTTCATGGCAGGCCCCAGGGACTCTGCCCTTCCCCATGGTGACTGCTGAGAGGCGGGGCTTTCAGGGTTGGCTAAGTAACTGCCTAAGTGTACAAGGGCTGCATGACTCCTGCCTTTAGGCCATCACCTCTTTTCTAGACTGTTCCTCAAATTTCTGCCAAGAACTTTAAGCTGTTTCTTTCTAAGGTGAATGATGGTGTTTCTTCTTATATGGGAAACTATGTACTCCAAATGCTAGGGTAGGATTTTTTTTTTTTGCTGGTGTGTGGGGGTGTGTAATGGAGGGGAAATACAATTTGAGGCCTTCTGTGCAAACTGGGGGTGTAGGGACTGGGGTGAGAGGAGTGGCCACAATACCACAGAATCCATTCCAAACTTCTGACTTTACTGCCTTCCACCTACCAATAGGTTCAAAGGACTGCACAGGCTGGGTGACACAGCACATAACTCACACTGTGTGAACAAATATTTTTACTCAATCATGCAATCCTCCTTCAAAATATGAAAATAAACTATCAAGATTGAGAAGCACAGGCTACAACTGTTTCTCTGCAGAAAATTTCTCCCCAAGTAAAATTAGTTTGACTCCTTTTATACATCAGGATATGTAATTTCACCAAGTTAATAGTTCTTATGAGCACAAAATGTCTGTTGTGTCAATAGCCAATATATGAAAACATTCCAGATGCCCTACTACAGATGGATCCATAAATTATGGTACCTGTATACAATGGAGTTTTATACAACCATTAGAAAGGATAAAAGAATGGCATTTACAGGGAAATGGGCAGAACTAGAACAAATCATGTTGAGTGAGGTAAGCTAAGATCAGACAGACAATGGAGTATTTTCTCCCTGATAGATGTTAAATGTTAAAATGCAATGAGATATGACAACGTAAAACAGGACTCAAATTACCCATACACAGTGAGACCAAGAGAGGACAGTCTCAGGAGAAAAGCAACAAATTGCAATACCCAAGCACCCCTTCATTTCTATATAAAATAATAGGCATTCTGTAAACAAACCCAAAGAGAAGGAAACAAAGTATCTCTTCTTACTTTATCCTATCCTTTTTCAGATGACTCTGTATTCTTTACTTCAGACATGGTGATTACACGTGCACAACTGAGGGAAGGTGGGAACAGAGCACAGAATCAGTGGAATGCAGGTGAAAAAATCCAGCAGAGGGGCCCATCAGCTGCACTGGACATTGATGGAAGTGAACTAAACAACTCAAGGGCCATGATGGGAGGAAGGGAATGAGAGAGAATGAGGGAACAGCTGATACTAAGCAAAAGGAAAGAAACATACATATCACCCAATTTGAAAAAAAAAGTTGTATGGTTAAGGTCATAGAGTTCATAAGCATGGTAGATTAAGATAATGATGAATATCATTATGCAGGTTAATAGGTGTTTGTGACTTTAAAATACAAAACAAAACAATATAAAAATAAACTGAAAGGGGTGAAAAAAATCTGTTTTGAAATTTCTCCTTACTTGCTTGCAAACCTCATCATGGAAAATGACCAAAAAGGAAAGATTTTGTTGTTTAGTTTGTATGAATCATACCATATGGGTTGATAGTCTTTTTGTGATTATGAAGATTTGTTTCTAGCTGGGTGCCAGTGGCTCCTGCCTGTATTCTAGCTAGTCTGCGTGGAAGAAAAATTCTTGAGAGTCTTCTCTCCAATTAACCAGCAAAAAGCCAGAAGTGGAAATATGGTTCAAGTGATAATGCTCCAGCCTTGAGCAAAAAAACCTAAGCAAGATCTGGAGGCCTGAGCTCAAGTCCAAGTACCAGAAAACCTCCCCCTCTGAAAAATAAAAACACATGATTAAACCAAAAACAGATGAGAAGATGATCACAGTAGTGAGTGACAAAAATATTCTCTATTTTTAAAAAGACCTTGCAATATTCCCTTGAACAAAAGCCTGAATAAGTTCAGTAAACTTAAATAATAATTAAGTTTGTATATTTATAGTTTATTAGAACAAAGAAATCAATGCTTCTTAAAAAAAAAAACAGAGAAGTCGTTTTGTGGTGCTGATACTGGGACTTGAACTCAGGGCCTTACTCACTTTAACTTCTTTCCTTGAGATAAGTGCTCTACCACTTGAGCCACACCTCTGCATCCAGATTTTTGCCTATTAATTAGAAATAAGAGTCTCAAAGACTTTTCTGGACAATGTGGCTTTGAACAGAGATCCTCAGATCTTAGCCTCCTGAGTAGCTAGGATTATGGGGGTGAGCTACCAGGACCTGCCTCTGAAACCAATACTTCTTAACAAGCAGTCATAGTAGGCTGGCATAACTTGATCAAGTTACTACTGTTCAGAAGCACTGGATAGCAACCTCATGGTCAGAAGGCCAAGGGCAAAAGGCTGTTTTCTTGAAAAATATAATTTTATGGCTATTATTCAGGTGTTGTACAGAGGGTTTCCATTTCACAATTCAGGTAGTGCATACATTTCTTTTTAGACAATGTCACTCCTTTATTCACTTTTCCCCAGTTTTCCCTTCCCACCCCTGCCCACAAAGTTTCCTAGTTCATTTCCTACTTAAATGTGTCCTAAGAGCTGGGATGGTGGATCAGTGGTAGAGCGCTTGCCTTGCATGCATGAGGTCCTGAGTTCGATTCCTCAGCACCACTTAAGCAAAAAAAAA